CGCCCGCTGCTCCGACGGTGCGGCCGGGAGACCGCGAGGAGCGGACCCCTCGGGTGGGGCGCGTCCTCGTTTGCCCAAGGGTGCTGGGAGTTCCCACCGATTGGAAATGTTTCCCACGTTCCTTGTACCGGGGGGGGGCTTGGCTCGAACGGAGGTTGCGGGTGGGAGCGGAGGGGCGGAGTCTGAGAATGGAATGAGAGTCGAATAGGGAATCAAGGGATTAACCAAAAGGCCGGTGACTTTCTGGGGCGCCCCCAATTAAATGGGAGAGGAAGAGGGGAGAGGGGAGGACCGACTCAGTGAACTGGGCGACGCTCTCCCTTTCTGAAAAGGTTTCTTATTGAGCAAAGTGCTGGCTAGGGCTCAGGGCGGGAGGGCTGCTCCAGAAATCTTAAACCCCACCAGCGCCTCCTCCTCACTCAGGGACTCTGGGTTAAGTCCCTCCAACGCCTAGTTTTCCAAGAAGTCCAAAGGCACAGAAGTCCTGGATAATAACAAAAGCACTTCGCGCGCCCCCCTCCCCTCCGCCCCCTGAATTCGACAGAACATTTTCTGGTGTCAGGAGCAAGGCTGGATTCAACGGTTCAGAGCGCCTGCTGTGGCCAAGGGCTCAGCACTTCTGCCTACCTCCTCTACAGGTCACATCTGTTATCCAGCCCCTAGCTTCAGGCCCCCTGCCTGGCCAATCCCCACAGATGGGAATATGCTTGTCCAGGGCCTGGCTACCCAGGGGAGGTAGGTGGACAGCCCAGGAAGAACTGCCGCTGCCTCTGGTTACTAGATGTCCTAGGGCCCTGGAGTCTTACAAAGACCTGGTGAAATGAAACTATTTTCTTTTCCATTTTAGAGATGAGGACACGAAGGCCCAGGTCCCCTAATTAAGAATCTGGCCAATGTTAACTGAGGTATGCAGGGTTCACAGGGGACACCTAGATGGATAATGTGTGGTCATTGTCCTGTCTCAGTGCCTACCAACAACTGACCTGACTGGCTTTTGACTGGTCCCACTGCATCTGGGTGTCTGAAATGCCTTTGCCTGGCAGGGCCCTGCTGGCTTTGTCTGTCTTGTCCTCTCTCGGGTTCTTCCAGCAGTGTCTTTGTCCTTGACCTTTCCTTTTTCTGATTCGGCAAGGTGATGACCACTCCATGTCAGAGGTAGGTAAGTGACATTTTGCCAACTGCAGCTCCCCACACTGTCTTCCTCCCACTGCCAGTGCTCCCATACCCCTCCTTAACTGAGCTGTGAAACCCCCAGAGGGCAAGAGAGGGACTCTCCATTGTCCCTTTGGGGGGTTGGAGTATCAGCAATGGGATAAGTCTAGGGTGCTTAACAGCGCACCTGTTGATCTGGCATTGCTGGGCTGGCATGGCCAACTGGAGAGGCCTCAATTTGGGAGCAATTTTTCCTTGTGGGCAAGACAGGCCGTGAGTTCAAAGATGTATTCATTGCATGGGAAGCATTATGAAGTCAAACATTCATGAAAGCAATGATTAAAATTCCTAGGGACACTTTACAATTCTAAAACCCCACCTAAAATGATCACTTATAGATGAGGCTTTGGCATCTTGCCCTAACTGCCCCCCTACTTTAACCTTATGGCTCAGGTTGCTCCTTCTTTTATACCAAGATAAACAACTTATCACCAGGCTCCCCAGCAATGAAGACCCTTCTAGTCTGAATCTAGTTTGGGGAGGAAGCTGGTGGGATGGCTTCAGTGATCTAGGGAACCCCAGGCAGGTACTGATGAAGGGCAAAGTAATAGGACCCATGGCTCCATGAGTGAGAGCAAAAAAGAAGTTAAATAGGATTTTCCCAGCATGTCGCTCCCACTCCTGGATGCTTCAGCTACCTCCCCGGGAGGAGTATACTATCACCCCCCAGAAGCGTTTGACAGAACTGGAAAGCAAGAAGTACAAGGTTTCCCTGTTGTTTGGGGGTCAGTTTTTCTCTTGGAGACTCTCAGAAATTGCAATTTGTTATGGGGGGGGGTCTCCCCAAACTCCAGTGAGTCATTATGTGGGCTTTGCTGCCACCTAGTGTCTAATCTCCATATCTGCTTCTACAACTGGAGTATGGAGAAGTAATAGGACCTTAGGCAGTCCTTAAAAATGTTGGGGTCATCACCAGTCTGGGTAGGTTAGCTGCAAACTGAAAGAAAACAGAGTTGAGGAAGAGTATTCATGTTTTGGAAGATCCTGCATCACTCCTTTTCTGGGTCCAGTCAACTCCAACCACTTTGTGTCTAGGGAAGCAGAAGTTGGTATATAACTAGACTAGGAAGCAGAGGCGAGGGTCTAGAGGTAAAGCCGTGAGGCCTAAGGGTTTGGGAGCCAGGTGAGATGAAAGCCACCCAGACCTGGCTCTGATTCTGCTTTTACTTGTGTTCTTAACCCCTTTGTGGCTCAGTTTTTCACTTCATGTGTATAAAATAGACACGCAACCCCACCCCTATGTTACAGGCAGGATAGTTGAGCAGATTTACTGAGCACACAGATATGAAAGCACTTCGAAGGCTGGGAGGGGCCTGCTGAGGGATGGTTGAGTTACAACAATAATAAGATAATAATGACAGTCACCGAGAGGTCACAGTGAGCTGGAGCCAGGCCCCTGGGGCTCACAGAAAGGCCTGAAAGAACTGAGTCTTGGCTGGGCCAGCACCACCCTCCTTGACTACCTGTGTTCTAGGGCTCGCCCAACTCTTGGGGTTCCCTCCGGAGAGGTGTGGATTGTTGGTGTAGTGCAGCCCAGTTCACAGAAGGGGAAACTGAGATTGAGAGGTTAGGGCCTGACCTAAGCCACAAAACTACAGACCCAGCAACAAGAAGCCCATTGGACTGGAGCCATTATGGCTCTGGTTTTCCCCTCCTCTGGATGAGAACTGCTCAGAGCTGGAGCCCAAGAGACCAGGGAAGCAGGAAACTCCCCCTTATTGTTGGTACAGTGGGAACTAAGGCCCCCAGGCCCCCATTATCCCTCCTCCTGGGTTGGCCCCTCTTCCCTCCAACCCCCCCACCACCACCCCTGCAAGTCCTCCCACATTCCTCCAGGCAACAGGAAACCCCAGCTGCAGTCCAGACTTCAAACAGCTCCTCCCTTTGGGCAGGGGGTGTGGGAGGAGAGGCCAGAGGCCAGAGGGCAAAGGTCAGCTTTGTTCCTGCCGTAGGTGGTGAGGGACCAGGGGAGACAGAGGGGGCAGGGCAGGGCCCTTGACAGCCACACCGCATGTGTGTGAATTCCTATGTCCATCAGGGTGTGCGTGGTTCTGTCAGCCTGTAGCCAGGGTTAGTAAATGTGTGACCTCAATTTCCTTCCAGCTCATGGACCTGAAATGTGTGTCTGAGAGTACATCAGTGTGTGTCTGTCTGTGGGTGCTCAGCCTGGACTCCCACTGACATGTCTCTGGGTGTCATCATGTGGAAGTATGTCTGGTTCACAGTCCTCATCAAAGCTGTGTTTCCCTCTTTGAGTGTGACCTGAGATGGCTCTTTGTGTGTGGGTATGTGTGTGTGCATGTGTGTGTGGGGTCCTCACCTTCCTAACCTTCCTCTGTTGGTCAGCTGGTCACCAGAGGGTGCCTTCTGAAAAGTGAATTTGACTTTATTATTCCCCATTCCTAAGCTCACGGCCCAAGGCTTAGAATCCTAGCCCGTGTTTGCAGACAAGACCCACGCCCACTTCTCCATCTTCATCTTTAACCACTTGACCCCCCCCCCCAAACTTTACACTCCAGTCACACCTGCCTAATTGCAACTCCCTGCAGGGTCCCATTTCCTGCCTCTGAGCTAACTTAATTCTGTTGAGTCTGGAATGCTTTTCTGTTGCTTCTTTACGAAGCCAACTTTTACTCCTTTTTTCAGTCTGTGGAGAAGAAACACCTCTGTGGAGAAGCCTTCCAGACGGAGTCCCCTGCCAGTTGAGTTAGGGCCTTCCTCTCCCCCTCCCCACCGGCCTTGTCGTATTCTGCCTGTGTCGGGTCCCTCCATCCTCATCATTGTTAAGCTTCCAGCGCGGTGAGGGCAGGAGTGTGTCTCCCATCCCAAGGTGGCAAGTTTCTGCAGGGGCCAGGTCCGCTCCATCCCAGGAGAAAGTTCCCTGCTGGTCTGGCTGTAGTACCCACAGTGGCCACTAGAGAGAGTGTGGACCTCACTGCAGGACCATCCAGGTGGGGTGTGTGTGTAGTGGATGGGATGGATGGGGTGGGGGAGAACTAGGGGGGTGGACAGTGGGTCTCCCCAGGTCAGGACTACAGGAGTAGGAGCAGGACCCAGGATACACCCATCCCCCCATAGGTCTGCACCCCATCCCCAGTTTCTTCTGACTTTTCCTCTACAACTCAGGAATCCTACACCGTAGGCCCTGACCCTCCTACCTCTGCCTCTGCCCCCCAATCCTCTTCCATGCCTCCTCTGTATCCTTGACTCTCCCGTCCATAATTATCTGTACTTGGCTGCTTGCGCTTGTTTCACCAGTACTGCCGGGCCTTTGCACCTGCTGTTCCCTCGGCGGAGGATGACCTCACTCTCTGGTGCTCTGTCAGGCAGACTTTTCTTTCACTTTCTCCAAGAGTCTCCCTCAGTCTCCAGACTGACCTCGTCCTAAGTGTTGTGATTATTTACTATTCTGTCTTCTGGACGGAGCCAGCCTACAGGAGACATCAATAAAGGTGTGTAATAATTACTAAATAATTTATTTTATAAGCCTCCACAAGTGTGAGGCTACCCCTGCCCTCTATCGGCGCCACGTCCTCCCTGACTCTAGGTGAGTTTTGTGCTTTTCTATGCTGTGCCACAAGTAAGGGAACTTTGAAGTCACACAGGCCTGGGTTCAGATTCTGACTCTGCCATCCAGCTGTATGACCTTGGGCAAACGTTGTAGACTCTGGTCTTCATTCCTGTTTGTAAAACAGGAATAATCACCCTTCTGCCCTGCTCATGGTGAGGATCAAATTAGACGATGCATATGAATCACCTACTTTTATTCAGTTAGGTATCCTCCTCCCCTACCATGAACTTGGAAGTAAAATTGCCCTCTGAGTTTCAAGCCAGTAAAATCCACGCATCACAGAGGAGAAGAGCCAGGTGGGGGAGTGAATGAGCCGAGAGATGGTTTTGTAAACGACTGAAGGGTTTTGTGAACAGTAACGGTGGAAACCGCAATCAAGGTGACCCGCCTGTAATCTCAGGGAGGCAGGGCATGGATGTGACTGCAACTGAGAAAACAGAGGCCTAATCAATTGCATTGTGCTCTATCTGAAGGGAACAGAAGGATGCACAGAAAAAGGGGTCCAAGGGATGGTTCTCCCAGAGGGAAGGACAGGGAACCAGAGAATACAGGGGCTCCAGGCACCAGTGGAGCTGGTCTCTGCTGAGAAGCAGTGAGGGCCTGGTGAGCCACACTGCTGGGCCTTTGCTTCAACAAAGCATCCAGGGAGCAGGCTGAGCCCCATGGAGCAGACAAGAAAATTGTGAGAGCACTGATTTTGGAGCCAGAGGACCTGGTTCAAGCCCCAGCTCTGACACTTCTGCTAATGATACTGAAGTCCTGTTTCCGTCACTATGCCTCAACTTCCTAATTAATAAGATGAAAATTCAATAGCTTTGTCCTCAGAGGATTCTGCAAAGGTGAAATGGGAACACGTGCTTAGCAGGAGGCTGGGTAAATAACTACAAGTGGTAGTGACAAAGACAGCTAAGGTGTATTATGCATTTTGTTGCCATTTCACAGATGAGGAAATTGGGAGGTTAATGATTTGCACAGAATCACACTGCTACTGTATAGTGGAGGCAAGACTCACACTGGCATTAGTGCTCCAGGACTGTGCCCTGGCAGGTGGAAACCTGGGCCTGTGGCCTACACAGCGGGCTCTTGTGAGTTTGGTTGGCCCAGGACAAGAGCCCTAGGGCAGCTGTGACCACTGGAAGCTTGAGTGTGCAGAGCTATGGCTCTCACCCCTGGGACCAGCTCTCCCAGCTCTCCCTGCAGTCACTTGGCCTCTTTCCATCTTTTTTTTTTTTTTTTTTAAAGATTTATTTATTTGTTCATACAGAACTGGGGTATAGGCCAGAGGTGCAGGGGTGATGAGTGCAGAGACAGAGTGGGGAGCAGAACAGGCAGATTAACTAAGTACATTGCTGAGGGGAGCAATGAGCGGGTCAGGAGAGGTCTGTCATGCCATGTGGGTCAGCTCCCTGGCTGGGGATCGATCGATCTCTTGTTCCCCAGCCCCAGGACAGGGCTGAGCACAGGAAACCCTCAAACTGCACTGCTCACCCTGCTCCCTTTCGCTTAGGTACATTCTACTTGGGGAGGGACGTGTCCAGGGACTCTTTCTACCGGAATCTAGAAAAGAAGGATCTTCCTCACATTCACTCAGGGTAAAAACCATCTCCTCCCAAAGCCCAGAGGCAGTGAGGTCTGGTAGAAAGGTAGTGGGCCTTGATGTGAGACCTGAGTTCTAATCCCAGCTCTATTACTTACGTAAGCACTTGTGACCTTGGCATGTGTTATTCCTGATATAACCCCTTAGCCTCAGTTTCTTCATCTGTAAATGGGGTTAATCATAGCGCCAGACTCAATATTAGATTAAATGAAAAAATGGATATAAACAGATCTGGCATTTAGCAGACAATAAATGGGTTGTTATCATTACTATTACCTCTCCTCAGCCTGTCTGTGAACTCCTCCAAGTTTGGCATGGGTCTTGTTCATGTTTGTGTCCCTGGTGTCCTGCCTGGCAAAAGGCCCTTCACAGAGTTAATGCTTAGCAATACCAATTGCAGCTGATTCCCAGCTCCTAGCCTCTTACCCTCACCCACTTCCTTAGTAAATCAGAGGTCAAGTTTCCTGATAAGAGAGGTGGGAATCCTCACTCTGTTCATCTGCTTGCCATACAGAAACATATCAGCTGCCAGATTTTCTGAAAAGGGAAAAGAGGGTGAGGGAGGAGACGAGTCTTCATTGCACAGGTGCCTGGCACCCTGGCCCCTGTCCACTCTGTGCCAGCACAAGCCCCTGTTGAGGGCCCTCCCTGGTGGCGCAGCACTGCAAGCTGGGTGCAGCCACTTCAGTGCGAGTTCGATCCCCGCCCTGGAGCTGACCCACATGGAAGCAGACCTCTCCTGACCCGCCCGCTGCGCCCCTCAGCAGTGTATTTCATCGATCTGCCTGTTCTGCTCCCCACTCATCTCTAGTGAATCCTCTCACTGCCCCTGCCCCTCTGGCCTGTGCCCCAGTTCTGTATGAGTAAATAAATAAAATCTAAAAAAAAAAAAAAAAGAAGCAGCCCCTGTTGTGACCAAGAAAACTGCCTCCAAGTCTCCTCAAAAGCCATCCAGGGTCAGTCAGAACTGCCCCAAGTGAGATCCACTGAGCCAGACTAAAGCTCAGAACCCTCCACCCTATGGAACTCTTTGGGGGAGCAGCAGAGGGTCCCCTGAGCAGTCTTCGCCCATGGGAGGGGCCTACGGTGTGCTGCGGTCCCTAGGATGAACGGTTAAGCTGCTGCTATCAAGTAAAGAATGAGCAAACCCACTGCACCCAGACTGGAAACCACATTCATTGTAAAGGGGACATTCTGATCTCCAGTCACTCATCTTCTGTATCTGCCTCTCAGCGCGCCCTAAATTCACATGGGGAAAAACACTGAGACTTTTTGGGCGCCCTGAAACATACCTGGGGTGATTTCATGAAGGATTTTCTAATGTTATTTTAACACTTACTTATATTCTCATTAAAGAAAACTATGTTCACGGTCTAGTTCCCCTTTCTTAACATGCTAGAATTTTTATTCAGTGCATAAAATAAAGAAATAATTGAGATTGAAAAAACCCACACTTGGGGTACCCTGTGCTTAGGAGGCATTAGGGTACTGTTTTACCTTCCCTTTCTGCTCTAACAGAGCAGTCTTCCTCCACCCATCACCAACTCCCATAAAGGAAGGGATTTTCAAAGCTTCGATATTGTTATTTTTCTTATTTACAAATCCAGTAAACACACATGATTCAGAGGTGGTAACCCCTGAGCAACAGTCTCCCACAGTCTCGGGCTTAGACCCCAGTCCTGCACCATGGCTTCCACCCAGCAAGAAACGGGCCCATCAATGATTTCTTTGTCTTTGAAACTTACAGACACAAGAGGATTGAATAGGAGGTAAATCTGGGGGTCTGGCTCAGGGTAGATAATGGGGTAGGAAGGAATGGACATAGGGTTTTATAAATAACTCGAAAAGTCTTGGGGGGGGAGGAGCAGGGAGGCTAGAGGCTTGTAGGAGGCTAAGTGAGAAGGGGAGAGAGAGTGCTTGGGGCCAGAGTGAATAAGTAATGATCTCTGGGCCTCTGTTTGCTCCATCTTTAAGATGAGTGCTTTGCCCTAGATGGAGTCAGAGCAACCTGCTTGCCGAGACACGCAGAGCTCTGTAGGCTTCTAAGCCTGGGGGGCTTTGGGTGGGGCCAGAGCCCCAAGGATTGAGGGGGCTTGTGGGCACATCCCCCAGCGTGGGGGGTTGGTATCCAAGTCAGCTATGTCTGATCTCCAGGCTGGTACTGGGGTTCTGTGGAGGTGAAGAAGTCCTCCAGGAAGGACTGCAGGTACTCGAAGGTCGGCCTCTCCTCTGGGTCCAGACGCCAGGCCTGCTCCATGACTTCATATAGCGACGCGGGGCAGGTCGGCAGGCACGGCATGTGGTAGCCATGTTCCACCTGCTCCAACACCTCCCGGTTATTCATGCCTGCAAGCGGGGCTCTGTCAGACACCTGCTCGGCCTCTTTCCCAGGGACAGCCTGGAGGCCTTTCCCCGGGGCCGCCCTCCCACCTCGCCACACCCCAGCAAACCTGGGTAGGGAACTCGGCCCTTGCTGATGAGTTCAGTGAGCAGGATCCCAAAAGACCACACATCTGACTTGATGGTGAATCTGCCAAAGAGGGCAGCTTCTGGGGCTGTCCACTTGATGGGGAACTTGGCTCCTGGGAGAGGAAGGGAGAAGGGAGACAGCTGCTTTAGTGAGGGGGGGTCCCAGGAGGAGCTGGGTTAAGAGAATAGGGCCTTTAGGATTGAGAACACTGGAAATAACAGAAAGCACCTGCTATCTAGCCGGCACTGATTATATGTCTAGGGTAGCCGTGGGCAATTCACAAACACTGCAATAATTCTCACTATAATAACAGCTAACACTTATGTGGCCTTTTACTCCTCGCCAGGCACTGTTTTAAGAGATTTACATGGGTCAACACATTTAGCCTCCACAAAAGATACGAGAATTATTCCCATTGTACAGATGCGGAAAAGGAGGCACTGAGTAGTAATAACTTGTCCACCTCACACAGCTTATAAGTGACTAGGATTCCTATCCAGCCTCCATTCTGGCCACAGAGTTCACATTATTATAGCCCATTATTTTTTTTTTTATTTTTTTTTTAAGATGTATTTATTTATTCATACAGAACTGGGGTACAGGCCAGAGATGCGGAGGGTGAGAGGATTCACCAGAGACAGAGTGGGGAGCAGATCAGGCAGATCGATGAAGTACACTGCTGAGAGGAGCAGCGGGCGGGTCAGGAGAGGTCTGCCACGCCATGTGGTCACCTCCGGGGCAGGCGGGGATCGAACGCATGCAGAAGCGGCTTTAGCTTCTCAGTGCTGTGCTTTAACCCGCTGCGCCACCAGGGAGGGCCAATATAGCCCATTATTTTAACTTGGAGAATTATAGTGGTACCTGGCACAGGGTAGGTGCTTAATACCTGTTGACTTACTGTAGTCTGAATAGTTTCATTTTACAGAAGAAAAAGGACAGTTGATAGACTGGCCCAAAGCCCCACGGCTGGTAATGGGATGAGCTGAACCCTGACCCCAGACCCCAGAGTTGCCTCGTACTGGATGTTCCTGCTGGTCTGGGGCAGGGAAGAGCACCTGACAATGAGGGCCCCAAGGCAACTTCTTAGTGCGTGGGGGAGCTCTCGGGCAGGGGCCTGAGGCAGGGTACCTTGCTGGGGGTTGTACTCATTATCCTCGATGAGCCGGGCCAGCCCGAAGTCCGCGATCTTGCACACCAGGCGCTCCCCCACCAGGATGTTGGCTGCTCTCAGGTCACGGTGGATGTAGTTCATGCGCTCCATGTAGGCCATGCCAGCGGCAACCTGGGGCCGAGGCATGGAGAGACGGGAGAACAGGGCTTGTGAAATGAATGCTTCCAACAATCTGCTTTCCAGATGAGGAGACTAAGGCTGGCGAGAGGCAGCGCCCCCTCCAGGTCCCCCAGCTGAGCTGGTGGGTGGGGCTGCTCTTCCAGGGTTGGCAGGGTGTTTGCCGGCAAATGCCAACAGGAGGGGTCTGAGAGAGAAGTCTGCTCTCCCAGTTTACCTGGGCTGCCATGTCCACCAAGTGGGGCAAACTCAAACTCTGGCCCTCCTGGCCCTTGAGGAAGTCCAGCAAGCTTCCTGGGGAGAGCAACCAAGAAAATCAGACTGGGCCCCATGCCTGCCTCCTCACAGGCCCAGGACCCACCCACCAGCTGACCGACACCTCGCTCTCCCTAGGTGGGTCCCCAGACCCAGGCCCCGCCTGGTCTAACT